TGAAATCTTGCCATATGCAACTATGTGGATGGAATTGGAGGGTATTATGCTAAGTGACATTAGTCAGAGAAAGACAAAAATCATATGACTTCACTCATATGAGGAGTTTAAGAGACAAAACAGATGAACATAAGGGAAGGGAAACAAAAATAATATAAAAACAGGGAGGGGGAGAAAATAGAAAACACTCATAAATATGGAGAACAATCTGAGGGTTACTGGAGAGGTTGTGGGAGGGAAATGGGTAAGGGGCACCAAGGAATCTACTCCTGAAATCATTGTTGCACTATATGCTAACTAATTTGGATGTAAATTTAAAAAATTTTTAAAAACCTAAAAAATTTTTTAAAAAGAAATAAATGACAAAAGAGGTCACTGTTTATCACTATCCTGAACATAAGGAATGATGAGTTGGAACTTTAAGGATCTTTTTTCTTTAATGTATTTTATAAATAAGCTCGAAACTCATCAATCCATTAAGCGTTGCTGCCCAAACATGGCAATTTCCCAAACACCAAATCAGTGATTTGCAACATAAATAAAGCAATCAGAGTGATGAAAATAGAAGGCTTCCAGCAAAATCCACTTCTGAGAGTTGCCATCACAGGGAGAAGGAAAAGCATTTTCAGGCTAAAATCTTGACTGAAAATGAACTGAGAATACACTGAAAATTGTCACCTCTCTCTGAATCCCAGTGGTTAATTATGCTGTTCTCCAGCAAAGTGGGTACAGACATAGCGGGGATAAAGAAAATAAATGTGTGGAAGGAATTCAAACCACAGTTCCTCTGATGGTACAGTAGTCATTTTTTTTTCCTACTATAGGCCAGGTCACAAATGCCATGCTGACTTCTCTCCACGGTGGACCCCAAATTGCTAGTAAATGGCCAAAGACCTTTGCCCTGTCTCTTCAAATGACCAGCACTCAGACCTCTCATTTGAATACTTACTTTTCATTGCTATTCATGTTGCCATCTGGAAGCCTACGGCAGCATGTGGGATCAACCCCAGAATTTGCTGGGGTTCCTGGTGCTTCCTCTGGCTGTCTGAAGAGTGATGACGTGTAATGTTTCACGTGCAACAGCTGAGTCACTACCACTCCTCCACGGATATTTTTTCCCCAGGACTCAACACATGATTTACATTACGATGTAATTTATGTAAATACCACCTACTTACATACAAAGACAGATAAAACGGGACCATTGAAACAGTCTGAGCATCACTGTAGCCCAGGCAGCGGAGTCTTTCACTGAGGTTATCAGTTTGTGGATTTCCACAAGTCTCTCCTGCAGTTCTAAACTGGTGTCAATATTTCCTTGCCTCGGGGATTATTGTAGATAGAGAAGAAAACAGGGACTGCTTCAAGTTGAAGGAGCCTCTTGAGTTTTGAAAACACCGGAACTCAAGAAAGAAATCAGCCTGAGAGGAGCAGAGAAGAGCAGAGTCCCCAAGAAAGTATCAGGAGAGAGATTTCCAGAGGCAGGAAAGATGAGAGCTCTGTGAGCCCCAAACCCCCACCCTGGCCTGGGGCACAGTCTTTGGAAGAGACAAGGCTTCAGATGGGCTGGACCCAATTTGGGGGGCCCTAAAGCTTCTAGAGGACTCTTTAAGAAAATATATAGAAATTAAGACATTAATAGTTGTTTAGAATGAAAAAAATCGATCACAACACGTGAAAAAAATACAATCGTTATGACAAATACCACACCTGTCATAATATTGAGAAAAACAATATAATATTTTTATTAATTTACTGCTCTCTACACCTAAATAATCACCTCTACAACCTTTTTCCCGTACATTTTTGGGAACTTGTTTATCTCTTTTTTCAGATGGCCATTTGGCAACATCATTTCCTATGGAGAAAATGTAAAGACAGTGTTTGGGAGGAAAAAGTCTTCTGGGACCCTCTTGAGGCCTCTGGTTGGGTCTGAAAATTAAACTGACAAAAACAGAATAACAGGAAAAAAGCAGGCACATTTTATAAAATTTCTGCATGTACTTGGGGGCTTTCACAAGAGAATGAGGTCCTGAAATGCCCAGAGCAGGAAGCTTTAAAAAAAAAAAAATCTTTTTTAATGTGTATTTATTTCTTAGAGATGGAAAGAGGCAGAGCATGAGCAGGGGAGGGGCAGAGACAGAGGGAGACACAGAATCTGAAGCAGGCTCCGGGCTCCAAGCTGTCAGCACAGAGCCCAACGCGGGACTTGAACTCACGAGCTGTGAGATCATGACCTGAGCTGAAGTCAGCCGCTTAACTGACTGAGCCACCCAGGTGACCCAAGAGCAGGAAACTTTTGGACAAAGAAACAATACATCTGTGAGGAATCGACAAGACAGAGGGCTTTGGGCAGGGGGTTGGAAATGATGAAATACCTAGGAAAATAAGGGTTAGATTAACAGGGTTTGCTTTTATACCCATTATTAGGCTCCAACTTCCCTGTCTCTGGTGATAAGAATATCTCCCTTCCTCCTGGTGCAGGAAAGGTAACTTTCACCAGGGGATTTTAGGACCTGTTTCCAGGAAGAAGGGCGAGGTGGGGCAAGTCAGAGTACCCCTCCTGCTTCTGCTGTTTTCTCAAACTCCTTCAGTTTAAGATATATGATATTCCAAGGTGGTATATTTTGGGATAGTACATCTTGAGCCTCATCATTAATTTATTCTCTTCTCTATCATAGTTGATTAAAATTAATTATTATTATTGATAGTTTTGAAAAGTTTTATCTTTACTATTCATTATTAGTAAAGGTATGTGAGTTTCTTAGATTTATTAACAAATTAGGAAGCTATCCATTTTCTTTCACATGCCCTGGAAGATTTCCTGCACAAAGAATTATCACCTCATGGGGCTCCTGGGTGGCTTAGTCGGTTGAGCGTCAGACTCTTGATTTTGGATCAGGTCATGATCTCATGGTTCATGAATTCGAGCCCCACATCAGGCTCCACACTGAGAGTACAGAGCCTGCTTGGGATTCTCTCTCTCTCCCTCTCTCTCTGCCCCTCCCCAGCTCGCACATGTGCACGCTCTGTCTCTCTCTCAAAATAAATACATAAACTTAAAAACGCTGTAAAAAAAAGAATTATCACATCAGTATATACCTAGAAGTCATTCCTATACCCAGTCACATACAACAGACCCTCTGCTAAGGGTCTGACTTTATATGTGAGGCCAATGCCTTCAAAGTTCTCCTGGGAAGATCTGGCCTGCTGCCTGGTTGATGAGGCCCCAAACTCACAGGTGGTAACAAAGCTCACACCGGGGCAGGCCAGGGTGCCTAAAACCCTGAGAAGACCTCAAAAACAGAGGGATTTACTAAATTTACAGGTTCTCCAGGTTAAATGTGGCAGGCAGAGTTTCTTGGGCTTGGTTTCCAAGCCTCAAAATAGGAAAGAAAATAATACATTCCAAAGTCTAATTGTGACTCCTGCTCCATATGGTTGCCCAATACCGCATGGCTCTAGAGTTGCAAAGGAAGCCCAAACCAACCTGTATGATTATTTAACACTCTTACTGCACCTCATAAATTATCAGGCCAAATCGAATGAGAGCAGCCTTTTCTGTGATCAAAAATAATCCTTGCACATTATTTATAATCACAAAGGCGGAGACTGCCTAGAAACATTATCCTAAGATTGAAAATAAGCAAAAGAGATTACTGGGCATTCCTTCAGAATATATTGACCAGACCATTTTACAACCCTTCAGGGGTAAAGGCTAATGGTAGGAAACTGGTAGCAATGCAGGTGATGCCTGACAAATGCAAATTTCATCTGATAGTGAGACAATTGATTTCCATTGGTAAAAATGATAATCCCCAACACCCTTTGTTTGTAGGGTATTAACCAATTTCACATCTATGAACAAACTCATTTTGGCTTTTTTTGTTTATTTGCTCTGACTATTGTAAAGCTCTGTTCCTCAACTTCTCGTTTGACTTACTTTTAACAAGGTATGGTTGCCTAATGAGTAGAATAAAATCTTTGACACATTTATTTTATATTTGTATAAAGGTCATATATTTAGCTTTTTGAAAAGTATTCTTTAGCACATACACTAAAAATATTCCAGAAATTTTGTAATGAGGCTCTGTTGCCCAATTTTACCCTCCAATTCATACTGCAGAGCCAGATTAAGCTTCCCATTGTCCAACACTGATTATATCACCTCCTTGCTCCTCTTGATACAAAAAGGTTCAAATGCATTAGGTTTGTATTCCAGGCCTTTTCCAATCATGCCCCAACCTCTCTAGACTTACCCTTAGCTCCAGGTAGACAGTAAGCACCTGATAATGCTTGGTAAAAAATGGATAAATGAACTCATTAATATTATTTTCCTGAAGGTAGTGGTTTGCTTCTTATTGTTAAGAAAGAATGAAAGCTATTCCTTTCCCTTATTGGGCACCCCACCTAAAATATTTTGGTTATCCTTGTCTCAGTTTGGTTATTCTGAGAGACAGACTCAAGGTTCGAAGACAAAGATTCAAGGACAAATAGTTTGAGAGGTGATCTGAGAAAACACCAGCAAAGGAATAAGAAAGTAGCTGGGGAGGGACGTTTGGGTGGCTCAGTTGGTTGAGCATCTGACTCTTGATTTCAGCTCAGGTCACAATCCCAGGGTCATGGGATGGAGCCCTGCATTGGGCTTGTGCTGAGCATGGAGCCTGTTTAAGATTCTATTTCTCTCCCTTTGCCCCTCTGCCCCCTTGCACTTTCTCTCTCTCTCAAATAAACATTTTTTATTTTTTTTAACGTTTATTTATTTTTGAGACAGAGAGAGACAAAGCATGAATGGAGGAGGGTCAGAGAGAGGGAGACACAGAATCTGAAACAGGCTCCAGGCTCTGAGCTGTCAGCACAGAGACCAACGTGGGGCTTGAACTCACAGACCACGAGATCATGACCTGAGCCGAAGTCGGCCACTTAACCAACTGAGCCACCCAGACGCCCCAAATAAACGTTTTTTAGAAAGAAAGTAGCCAGGGAAGAGAAAGAAAGCAATAAAAGGTATATTATTAAGCCAGTTTCCATAGTAGGTAACTGGAGTGCAGTTCATTTGGGGTGCTCTGGGGATAGAGCAGGACTCTCCTCAGAGATGTACCAGCCAAGAGGCAAGGACACAGACTTTATCTACTAATTCCCCACCTGTCATTGGTTGAGTGTTGCTTCTAAGGATATGATCTCCCGACAGTTCCAAGCATGCTCCCTCTACCAGATGAAACCCCTCAGGCAGAGAGTCAAAGATCTTCAGTTCACAGCACCTACAGTCTGGGCTACCACAATGGAAAAGCCAAGTAACTCAAGGTGTTTCTTCGAAGACAAAATCTATTCTCTTAACACCTCTCTGTCAGAAGCTGAATTTTTTCCTGATTATATTCTAGCACTATTGAATTCCAAACGGTCCTAAATTTAGGCATTATAGCTTTGCAATATACTGGAGGGTCTCAGGAGTCTGGAGTAACTAGTAGGAAAAAAATGGATTAAAAAATGGACAGAGGATCTGAATAGACATTTCTTCAAAGAAGACATACAGATGGCCAACAGACACATGAAAACATGCTCAACATCACTAATCATCAGGGAAATGCAAATCAAAACCACAGTGAGATATCACCTCATGCCAGTTAGTATTGCTAGTATCAAAAAGACAAGAAATATCAAATGCTGGTGAGGATGTGTAGGAAAAATAAACTCTTGTGCACTTTTGGCTGGAATGTAAACTGGTGCAGCCACTATGGAAAACAGTATGGAGGTTCCTCAAAAAATCAAAAATACAATTACCCTATGATCCAGTAATTCCACTTTTAGTATTTATCCAAAGAAAACAAAAACACCAATTCAAAGAGATACATGCTACCCTATGTTCACTGCAGCATTATTTATAATAGTCAAGTTATGGAAGCAATCTAAATGCCCATCAACAGATAAAGATATGGAATATTGCACATCCAATACAATTTAATTTTAAAAAGAATAGAATCTTGCCATTTGTGACAACATGGATGGACCTGGAGAGTATTATGTTAAGTGAAATAAGCCAGACAGAGAAAGACAAATACTATATGATTCTACTTACACGTGGAATCTAAAAAACAAAACAAATGAACAAACAAAACAGAAACAGACTCATATATTAGAGAAACAAACTGTTGGCAATCAAAGGTGGGGAGTCTGGGGGGAAGCAAGAAAATAGGTGAATGAGATTAAGAGATACAAATTTCCAGTTATAAAATAAATAAATCACGGGAATGTAAAGTACAGCATAGGGAATATAGTCAAAATATTGTAATAACTTTGTATGGTGACAGATCATAATTAGGCTTATCATGGGGATCATTTCATAAGGTATAAAAATATTGAACCACTGTGATGTACACCTGAAACTAATAGGATATTGTATGTCAATCATACTTCAATTTTAAAAAACGATTGTATAATGAGATTGGTTCGGAATCCTGCTGGCCTTCATGGCATTACTTCTGCATGCATTTAATGTGCTCCCTCTGGGCTCTGTTTAGCATGCAGGTCATAGTGTGGGGAAGCAGAGGGGAAGCGGAGAGACCAAGTGCTAGAAATCAGAATCATCTTTGTTAAAAGATATTCTACATGCAAATGAGGAAGGCCAACAGGAGGCTCATATCTCTCTGCAGGAGATGCTTGAAAAGCAATCACAGGAAGCTATCTGTTCACCTCTGGAACGGAGGCTAGAATGGAACATAGCTTTGGAAACTCATTGGGTCATGAGAAATTTTAATTGGTGGCAAAATATAACCACCATTGTGGTACGATACAATTAGAACAAGGCTGACTTCCAATTTCGGCTGAATAATTATACTTGGAGAAAAGCTGTAACCCGTGAGCTTTCTTGCCAAACTGCCAGGCCACTACCACATCCCTCTGCCTCTCCTCCCCATTTTCAGGAAGTTCCTTACCTCCATGGGTTCTCATGTTCTTAGACAGACATTCAGGTTTGCAGTAATACTTGTGAACATTGGTTCTTAAATATTAGCTGCATCAAAATCACTGGAGGTTTGCTAAAATACAGATTGCTAGGTCCTACCTCCAGACTTTCTGATTCGGTAGGTCTGGGGTGAATTTACAGCTCTAAGAAGTTCCCAGGCAATGCTGGTCCAATGATCATACTTGGATAACTACTGCAGCCCAGACTTACTGGTTCAGGGTTTCCATTTTGGCAAGATCTTTGGGTGGTCCATGTGCTCACTGAAGTCTGAGAAGCACTATTTCTTCATTTTTTCCAAGGATTGTACCATTCTAGATGCATAGAAGAGAAGTTAATTTATTATATACAATGGATGCTTTGGGCATTATGATTTAATTTTCCCCTAAAATGATTGGTAAAAGCTGAAATGTCTAGAAAAGGAGTTCCCAAGTTTGTCAAGAATAGAATCCCTTTATAAGGTCAAAGTATTTTATATGTACTCCTCCCCATGTGAGTATCCATTTAATAGGAAAATAATTGACCCATTAAAACACCCAAGTATCTAGTATGCACAGTGTGAAACTCCTACCCAGGTGTTAGAGACCCCAGTGGACCATGGTCAGACAAGCCGCAGGGACAAATAAGTGAAAGCCACCAAGCTGAGACAGGAAAGGCAAAGCAAGCAGGCAGGGGCCAGGAAGCTCTAGGAGTTCTGAGAACTGGAATAAACTGAAAAGTTAAGAAAGTCACAGCATAAGCAAGAAGTTTTGCAACTGAGGGAGACATGGCTACCTTGCTTCAGCCAGAAAGTCTTCTCTATGCCTGCGGCCATGGCAGCGTCTTCTGAAACTAGGACTTGGTGTCTAGGGCCCAGGACCCAAAGCAGAGCTTGATGCAACAACACCTCCATACATCACAGGGTCTGACTTTGTGGGCCTGGGAGAGAGAGGGCTGGGCAGCAGCAGAGCAACGAGGAAGATTTCTGGAGCCAGACTGCCTGGGTGCAGACTCTGCCGGTACCACTTGCTAGCTGGCCATCAGGCCTGCCCTGAGCAATGGGCCGCAGGGCTGACGGCTGCTGAGAGCCCTGGTGCACAGACTTTCCCAGCTCCCCACTGGGTGGCAGCCTGTCACCCATCCCACAGGATTCCCTGCGGTCTGGTATTCACACGTGGAAGAAACCAGCTACAAATCAGGGCTTCTTCCGCACCACCCACCCCCACCCCCCGCCAGAGTTGATTGTGAAACATTTACCAGCACAGCACTGCTCACTGCTAACTATGGGGATCCAAGGAAGAGTATATACATGTAGACTCAGGTATGTCTAGATACTGAAAAATTATAAATCACATTAACACACTGTTTTGTAGAATAGTTCTATCCTCCAACCTGGGCAAACAGACCTTCATGATGACTGGAAAGCCATGTTCATATTTAGAATTTTATGTGGCAATACCATGCTGTCTTGATGATTACAGCTTTGTAGTAGAGGCTAAAGTCTGGGATTGTGATGCCTCCTGCTTTGGTCTACTTCTTCAAAATTACTTTGCCTATTCAGGGTCTTCTGGGGTTCCATACAAATTTTAGGATTGCTTGTTCTAGCTTCGAGAAGAATGCTGGTGCAATTTTGATTGGGATTGCATTGAATGTGTAGATTGCTTTAGGTAGTGTTGACATTTTAATATTTATTCTTCCAATCCATGAGCACGGAATGTTTTTCCATTTCTTTGTATGTTCTTCAATTTCCTTCATAAGCTTTCTATACTTTCCAGCATACAGATCTTTTACATCTTTGGTTAGGTTTATTCCTAGGTATTTTATGCTTCTTGGTGCAATTGTGAATGGGATCAGTTTCTTTATTTGTCTTTCTGTTGCTTCATTATTAGTGTATAAGAATGCACTGATTTCTGTACGTTGATTTTGTATCCTGCGACTTTGCTGAATTCATGTATCAGTTCTAGCAGACTTTTGGTGGAGTCTGTCGGGTTTTCCATGTATAATATCATGTCATCTGCAAAAAGTGAAAGCTTGACTTCATCTTTGCCAATTTTGATGCCTTTGATTTCCTTTCGTTGTCTGATTGCTGATGCTAACACTTCCAACACTATGTTAAACAACAGTGGTGACAGTGGACATCCCTGTCATGTTCTCGATCTCAGGGGGAAAGCTCTCAGTTTTTCCCCATTGAGGATGATATTAGCTGTGGGATTTTCATAAATGGCTTTGATGATCTTTAAGTATGTTCCTTCTATCCCGACTTTCTCGAGGATTTTTACTAAGAAAGGATGCTGAATTTTGTCAAATGTTTTTTCTGCATCGATTGACAGGGTCATATGGTTCTTATCTTTTCTTTTATTAATGTGATGTATCACATTGATTGATTTGCAAATGTTGAACCAGCCCTGCATCCCAGGAATGAATCCCACTTGATATGGTGAATAATTCCTTTTTATATGCTGTTGAATTCGATTTGCTAGTATCTTGTTGAGAATTTTTGCATCCATATTCATCAGGGATATTGGCCTGTAGTTCTCTTTTTTTGCTGGGTCTCTGTCTGGTTTGAGACTCAAAGTAATGCTGCCTTCACAGAATGAACCTGGAAGTTTTCCTTCCGTTTCTATTTTTTGGAACAGCTTGAGAAGGATAGGTATTATCTCTGCTTTAAATGTCTGGTGGACTCTTATATTTTGGGAGATTTTTGATAACTGATTCAATTTCCTCGCTGGTTATGGGTCTGTTCAAGTTTTCTGTTTCTTCCTGTTTGAGTTTTGGAAGTGTGTGGGTGTTTAGGAATTTGTCCATTTCTTCCAGGTTGTCCAGTTTGTTGGCATATAATTTCTCCTAGTAATTCCCTGATAATTGCTTGTATTTCTGAGGGATAGGTTGTAATAATTCCATTTTCATTCATGACTTTATTTGGGTCATTTCCCTTTCTTTTTGAGAAGCCCGGCTAGAGGTTTATCAATTTTGTTAATTTTTTCAAAAAACCAAGTCTTGGTTTCATTGATCTGCTCTACAGTTTTTTTAGATTCTATATTGTTGATTTCTGCTCTGATCTTTATTATTTCTCTTCTTCTTCTGGGTTTGGGGTGTCTTTGCAGTTCTGCTTCTATTTCCTTTAGGTGTGCTGTTAAATTTTGTATTTGGGATTTTTCTTGTTTCTTGAGATAAGCCTGGATTGCAATGGATTTTCCTCTCAGGATTGCATTCGCTGCATCCCAAAGCGTTTGGATTGTTGTATTTTCATTTTCATTTGTTTCCATATATTTTTAAAGTTCTTCTCTAATTGCCTGGTTGACCCATTCATTCTTTAGTAGGGTGTTCTTTAACCTCCATGCTTTTGGAGGTTTTCCAGACTTTTTCCTGTGGTTGATTTCAAGTTTCATAGCATTGTGGTCTGAAAGTATGCATGGTATGATCTCAATTCTTTTATACTTATTAAGGGTTGTCTTGTGACCCAGCATGTGATCTATCTTGGAGAATGTTCCATGTGCCCTCAAGAAGAAAGTATATTCCTTTGCTTTGGGATGCAGAGTTCTAAATACATCCGTCAAGTCCATCTGATCCAATGTATCATTCAGGGCCCTTGCTTCTTTATTGATCCTGTGTCTAGATGATCTATCCATTGTTGTACGTGGGGTATTAAAGTCTCCTGCAATTACCACATTCTTGTCAATAAGGTTGCTTATGTTTGTGATAGTTTTATATATTTGGGGGCTTCTGTATTTGGTGCATAGACATTTATGATTGTTAGCTCTTCCTGATGGATATACCCTGTGATTATTATATAATGCCCTTCTTCATCTCTTGTTACAGCCTTTAATTTAAAGTCTAGTTTGTTTGGTATTAAGTTTGGTTACTCCAGCTTTCTTTTGACTTCCAGTAGCAGGATAGATAGATCTCCATCCCCTCATTTTCAATCTGAAGGTGTCCTCAGGTCTAAAATGCATCTCTTGTAGACAGCAAATAGATAGAATTCTATGGCTATTTGGGGATGAGCTGAGAGATGGAAGGACAGCCTCATGGGAGATAAGCAGGCAATGTCCAGTCTAGGTAGGACCTCACAGACCACAGAAACATAGAGTTTGTTTTTGTCCTAGAAGCAATGGGAAGTCATTGTAGCAATTTAAGTGTGGGGAGTACAGGATCAGATTGCCACCTGGATGGCTCACAAGGTTAAGCATTGGACTCTTGATTTCAGCTCAGATCATGATCTCACAGAGGTGGGATCATGCCGGCATTGGGTTCCTCACGGGGTATGGAGCCTGCTTAAGATTCTCTGTCTCCTCTTTCTGCCCTTCTCCTGCTCACATGCTCTCTCTCTTTCTCTCTCTCTCTCTCTCTCTCTCTCTCTCTCTCTCAAGTAATAAAATAAAATACATGCCTAGAATCCACCCTAAACATCCTGATTTAGGAGGCTTGAGTTGAGACCTAGGAAATCTGTATTTGTAGCAAGCACTCCGGAGGATGTTGTCACATCAAGTAGTCATTGAACCTTCACATAAAGCAGCACTGGGATATTCTGATTCTTCAAAGTGTTGCTAAGCATCCAATGACTCTAAACAAGACTTGGGCATTGCACAAATTTGCCTCAGAAAAGGACACCAGTAGGGTTTTATCAAGGCCAGATGGCTTGACTAAAATAGAACCAAATGCACAGAGCAGTGTGCTATTTTGCAGGGACAGAAGGTAGGGGACTTTGTCAGCTCGGTAACCATATAGTGTGCCCCGAGACAGTCAGGCCTTGCACTGTTCTTTCCTGTTCTTGAGGGTTAACCCCAGAATGACTTTTTAGTAGCCAGATTTCAAAATGGCAAGTTCACAATTCCTTGCTCATCCAGGGAGTCCAACAGAGGCAAGACAGGGGTTTGTAGACCATTAGCTCCAAACTTTGGGCAATCTCCATCCAGGTTTTTCCCCAACTTTCCTTAAAGCTGAGAAGCCAAGGCCTGCGATATTTTGTCTTCAGCTTGCTAATTTATGTACAATTATCACTGTATCTCAGCCTAATCTCTGTGGGGTGAACAGAACAGGTGGAAGCCAGCATTGCAGGCAGTGAGAATTCATTCAAAGCAGAACAAAGGAGATAGATGTTTATTGAATACACTACAAGGGAGCATTAGGCAGGACAGCAAAGGAGAGACTGTCTGCCATAAGGCAGTGGAGGCGGGGGGGGTAGGGGGCAGTGAGGAGGTATGGCAATGGGTGGAATTTTCCTTTTTTGTTAACTGTTCCTGGGTTTAAGTAACCAGTTGGTCAGCAAGGGCATATGGCTATTTTGAAGTGGGTCGCCATAATGAACCTGTTTTCATTCAGCCTAGTGGTCACTGTAGGCCCTTTTACCGTACTCAGGGTTCCATTGCTCAAGCCTGTTGCCTAAAAGTGTCCTCTGCAACCCCTAGTTTTCCACACAATGATTTGTCTGCATGATCCTTGAATTTTAAAACTATAAAATAAGCCAGCAGAGACAACCAGCAACACTCGTGGCTCTGTCTGCTCTCCGCCATGAGAAGAGACAAGAAGTCAGCAGTCTGCAAGCCAGCTAGAGGGCCCTCAACCAGCGCCCAAGCATGCTGGCGCCTTATCTCAGACTTCCAGATACTTCCAGAACTGCATAACTCCTGATGAGGCCTAGTGTTGGAATTTGCTTTGTCAGCAAATCTCAACACCACTCTTTAAAAAGATACCAGCCAGTACAATATGGTAAGCAAAGGAAATCAAAGGAATCTATTAAAAAGAAAGCCATCTTACCTGCATGCAACATGATCATCTTTGTAAAATATCCTATGGAACCCTCAATAAAGCTATAATAACTAGCAATGCATTTGGCCCTTCTCCGTGCAAGGAAAAAGAAGATGAATAGAAGTTGCTCTCCTCCCCTCCCCACCGGAATATTTTGACTCAGCAGCTCAAAGGGACAGCTTAAGTTGTAGAAAACTGATGTAGATACAATTGGATAGAGTCATTTTTTCCTTCAGAAGTTTACAGTGTATAAACTAAGAAACCGAAGTTTACAACACCTAAAAATCCAAACAAGAAGAGAGGTAAGCAGAAAACTATTGACATACAGTGAAAAATTGAAAAGAGAAAGAATGAGCACATCATAAGACCACTGATGGTCCTTGATCTCTCTGGATCATTTTCTCCTTTTCAGACGTAAAGAAAATATGGGTTAAAAGTAAGCAAAACAACAGCCACAAGTAAAAAACCATCACTGCAAAAAAAAACCAAAAAAAAAAAAACCACAAGTTTGAACATTTATGAAGAAAAATACTTGATAAGAAGGGCAGAATTGAAGTCAGTCAATAAATTGTGAAATCCCTTAGCAAAATGTTTTATATTTATTAAATTAATCAAGTATTTTTAGGGGGAATATGTTCTTAGAAGAAAAAGAATAGACTTCTTTAGCAGTGGGTTTGGGAGATGGTTTATCAATCAAGTTTGGAAAATAATAAGAGCTCTTTTTTGAAAAAATGCTCTCATAGGTACAAATGAAAATGTTAAAAAGCCAAAAAATGTGAATTCATTACCTCTAAAGTTTGAAGAATTAATTTAAAAATAAACACTATCCACTGGAAATAAAGACCTGAAACTGATATATGTTATGGCAGTTATACCTCAGTTAAGAAAAAAAAAAAAAGGTGATTGGAATAAATTAATAGATGTAAAAAATTAAAAAAAGAAAGGACTTAGGAAAATAAGACCAAGTTATGCTAAGGCTTTTTCCTGGTCTCATGAGAATCTGGGCAATGATGGTGGATTGAACTAGGGTTGCAACGATAGGAGATGGAGAGAAATAAAACCGTGAAATAGTTTGGAGGTAAAAGCTTTCCCAGATTGCACAAAAGTCCTCACCTCATTACTGGGGTTGTTCAGGGTCAGAGTGACAGGATTAGGACAGGCCTGCCCCTAAATCCCATCGGAACGCAAATCTCCCAGAGAAAGATAGCCTTCATCTCCGTCCTTATCGAGCCTTGCCACCTCCGTGTGGCTAACGCGACCAGACCTGACCCCGAGGAGAAGCCAGTGCACAGTGGAATGACGCTAAATGCCAGGGCACGAGTCCCCAGCTCAAAGGCCTACCTGGGCCGGCAGGTAAAGTGGGTGAGTGGAGCCGCCACGGTCAGAAAATATGCGGCAGCCAACGCTGTTGCCAGGCAACAGGGGAGCCTGGAGAACAAGGGACACCGGCTGCCTGGGAAGTGCAGCCCTATGCCAAGCCCAGCCCCTGAGGAGCCCGGGACAAGGTGGCCACAGTATTGCTAAAGATTCCGGTTTTCTAAGAGGTGCCAGAAATGCAGATTTTTTTTTTAAGTGTGAGAACACTCGATGTTTAAAAACTGGAACTAATTCAAATTTTAGAAAAAAATCAGGGGGTGGGGAAGGGGAAATAGGATCCATAGGTCAAACCTTGCAATAATTTTGGAACTTCTAGTCTACTTTGTTAGACATTGACTCATTTAATCCCTACATTAATCCTGTGAGTTTAAGTACAATTGTCCCTACTTGGCAGATGAGAAAATTTAGGCTCAGAGGGCATGGGATTTGTTACAAAATCAAAGATATTCAAAGATTGTGGTTGGGTTTCTTCAGGCAATGTAAGAGCCGCACCTTTTGTCATTTTTCCTGGCATTCCTCTTCAAAATTTGACTTAATTTCCTTTAAAAAAATGTTTTTTTTAATGTTTATTTTTGAGAGAGAGAGAGAGAGAGAGAGAGAGAGAGAGAGAGAGAGACAGCATGAGCAGGGGAGGGGCAGAGAGAGAAAGATTCCGAAGCAGGCCTCAGGCTCTAAGCTGTCAGCACAGAATCTGATGTGGGGCTCAAACTCACAGACTACGAGATCATGACTTAAGCCGAAGCTGGATGCTTAACCGACTGAGCCACCCAGCTGTCCCAAAATTTGGCTAAATTTTTTATGGGATTGTTTGTTTCTTTACTTCTTTGGTATTTGTCATATTGTTCACGGTTTTCTCCACAAGGAACAGTTTTAAAGGTGGGTGCTTCAAGAATGCATTGTTCAAGACTGATTCTGTTTGAAAAGATGTTTGTGTCTTTTTAATCTCAAAAAAGAAAAATTGTGTCCACCTATCCTGGCTTATTCTGAATCCCCCGTGTAAGCACAGGAATGTGTAGTCCCACAGGGGTTGGAGACACAAGCCGCATCTGAAGTGAGCTAGAATTACTGAGAACCATTATAATTTACTTTTGAAGCAAACCTGTGGCTGAATCCATGTGTGTTTGAGGCCAGTCACATAACTAGGATGTGAAACTTATACGTTATTAAAACTCAAGTCACAGCACTATCTTAGAATTTAGGCCAGTGAGAAACTTTTGAGGGGAGCAGTGTTGTTAGCATGACCTGTGTGTGATGACAATAAAAAGCAAGTTGACTTTTAGTCAGTTTATTGTTTTTATATCCTCTATATACAATGCAACCTTGTATTGCTTTACCTTGGGCAACTGCTCTTACCATCTACTCTTGGTATGCTGCTCTACGGATGCCGATTTTCAAGCATAATTCTGGAAAAATCCAGAGGTGTGATAGCATCTAATGCTGGCCAGGATTTGGGGTGTCTGGGGGGTAGGAGAGAGACAGAGGGGGAGAGGAGAAGGCAGAATATACTCATGTGTTGCTGGAGGAAATGGGGATCATTGGGCGATAGCTATGAATATTAAACATAAACATACCTTTTAATTCAATAATCCTACTCCCAAGAATCAGTTCTATAGAAATAAATGTCCTGGGGCGCCTGGGTGGCGCAGTCGGTTAAGCGTCCGACTTCAGCCAGGTCACGATCTCGCGGTCCGTGAGTTCCAGCCCCGCATCAGGCTCTGGGCTGATGGCGCAGAGCCTGGAGCCTGTTTCTGATTCTGTATCTCCCTCTCTCTCTGCTCCTCCCCCGTTCATGCTCTGTCTCTCTGTCCCAAAAATAAATAAACGTTGAAAAAAAAATTAAAAAAAAAAAAAAGAAAGAAATGTCCTAATTCTTAAGGAGCTATGGGCAACAACATTTATTGGGGATTGTTTGTGGAAGGGAAAAATGAAAAACAGCTGAATGCACATCAAAACATTGTCATATATCTGAACCATGGAGTTCCACATGGCCACTAATAAGCTACATCTGTTTTCATGATGTTTTAGTAACTGAAAAACTCAAGAGGGCTAAAATTCTTCACCACCATCAAGACCCTCTGCACATGGGTATGATTCTAGGAGCCAAGAGAAAGGCATAGGATTCACACACATCTCGCTTATTAGGAGAAAAGAGGTGAAGGGTCAAAGCAAGAAAAAGTATGCCCTAGGTAAGAGAGAATAACAAAAGAGTCCCACAATAAAAAACAACAAACAAAATATTCCATTATATAACATTGCATGTATTTGTTTGTTGTCCCAGGGATCTGTGAAAAAAGGCCACCAAACTCTTCGGTGCTGTCCATTAGAACTTTCCACATGATAGAAATGTTTTCTATCTGTGCTGTCCAAAACAGTACCCAGTAGACACATGTGGCTATTGAGCACTTGAAGTGTGGTTAGTGACTCAATGGGTTCAGTATCTGACTCTTCATTTAGACTCGGAGCATGATCTCATAGTCGAAAGATCGAACCCCGCATCAGGCTCCACACAAATGGCACAGAATCTGCTTAGGATTTTCTCTCCCTTTCTCTCTGCCCCTCCCCTGCTCATGCTGTCTCTCAAAATAAATAAACTTTAATAATAATAATAATAATAATAATAATAACAGAAATGTGGTTAGTGTGACTGAGAAACTAAATCTTTATTTTTTTAATTTCTTTAAATGTTTATTTTTGAAAGAGACAGAGTGCAAGCAGGGGAGGGGCAGAGAGAGAGGGAGACAGAGAATCCAAAGCAGTCTCCAGGCTCTGAGCTGTCAGCACAGAGCCTGACGTGGGACTCGAACCCACAAACCGTGATATCATGACCTGAGCCGAAGTCAGACCCCTAACCAACTGAGCCACCCAGGCACCCCTAAATCTTTAATTTCATTTAATTTTAATTGAATTTAAATAATATAGCTATAGACAATGATTTTCTATAAGCAGTAGAGTTGCAGTTCATTTGTATTTTTTTCCTTCTACTATTCCATAGTGTTTGAATGTTTCCATGAAGAACAGTTATTTATGTAATCAGTAAAATAAAATTGTCAAGAAGCAGTATGCGTAGTGATTAAGAGTTCAGATTTAGATCCAGACAACCCAGTTCAAATCCTGGCCTTGTTACTCATTGCTAATAATTTTGGGCACATTACTTAACCTCAAACTACTTTCTCCATTGTGTCTCAGCTACCTCACCAGTAAAATGGGATTGATCATGATACCTACCTCATGGGGTTATTGTAAGGTATAAGTAAGTTCATCCATGTAAAGTACTTAGAACAATTCCTAGCACATGGTAATTGATATTATTAGCTGAACTTGTCAGATGTCTTCACCACAAGCAGTAGAAGACACTGGCTAAGGAATTTACTAGACACTGGTGGCTTCACAAAAATGTTGAGATATCTGGGGGAAAAGGTTCAAGACTAAGAGAGGAGACACCAAATGATGTCTCACTACTGGTTCTGATAGAGAAGCCACCGATTCCAACATCTGTTGTCTGGGAACAATTGCTTCCTTTCTATTCCTGAGTGGAAGTCCCGCCTAGGTATATCAGATTGGCAGAGCCTAGGTCACGTGTCTGGGCCCTAGCTGCAAGGAAGTCTGAGAGAGAAAGGCCTCTGCCTAGCACTCTTGGCTTCTGTCAGGGAGGTGGCCATAAGATGGGGGGGCTCCCCCCAAATAAGAAAGATTTCATGTGCTGGGCAGCCAAAAACAAAGATGGAAAAGACATTACGAATGCTGTTTAAACCAGGGCAAGGGTGGGGAGAGACAGGAATGAATGCAAATGTTCCAAGTAGACCTGTGTTCTGGACTCATTAGCTCAAAGTAGCTTTGCAACTTGCCGAGGTAGCTGTAGCTGTCTGGACCCTGGTTTTCATACCTGTAAAATAAAAGTGTTGGCTCAGTGTCTGGATGTTGGCAGCTGTGAAATGTCACATTCTCTGTGACTGGTGTCATTTGAAAAGAAAGAACATCCAGAAGATCTCATAATTATGCTGGGAAAAAAAAGATTTTCTCCAAAGTTGCCTCAAAATCCATTTTGGGAAACGGGCAGCGTCTACATTTTTATAGGAGTTTTTATTCCTTCCTTTAAAAATACCTTGCCAAAGTTACACTGTTGGCTACTGGAAGAATTGAGAGCAGACCTTCAATCTCTAGATCCCAAAGTTGGAAATGGCCCCAGTTGTTTATAAACAGGAGAGACAAAGGTGTCATGAGGTGAGAAAGGGGACCCAAAAAGGTGGACTCTGCTCTTGTAAATGTCCTTTGGAACTTGCTGGCTGTTTCTGTTTTAGCCGCATTTGGAAGTAAGCAGAGGAAAGCTCTTGTTGCCTCTGCCATTTGCCCCACGAAAGTTGCTAGGCCTCTCTCAGGCTTTCCTTCTGAATCACTATAATATAGTTTTAGGCCAGTTTCCATGTCATTCGGAAGTTTTTCTTCCAATGTACAGTGCATGTGCACGTGTCTAAGTTTCACTCACACCTCAAGTGAAATTCCATGGCATCTCAATGTCTTTTTTAGTGGGGGGACGTATCTCTTATTTTGTAAGCCTAATTCAGGGGTTTCCAGAGGTTTTCACATGATGGCACTCAGGAAAATGGTATTAGTATAGTAGATGAGGTAACTTCAGATCCTGAGGTGGCTGTCCAGTGGCTCCAGCCTCTAGCTTCCCTTGTCCTAGCCCAGCGGCCCTGAACACTGACAGCATCGACAAGGCCGCCATCTGTATCCCATTTGTGGCTCACCTATGTGTGAGCACTTCTCCAGAAACTCTGGTCTAAGCCAGATAAACCAATGGGTTTGATAGACCAAAGCACTCTACACATAATTTTCCCAGAATGGATCTGTTGATGTGTGCAACAGATCAGAAAGGGTAGATCTCATGAGTGGACAGAAGAGTGGAACGGCCTGGTGTCATCAACAGAAGAAGAGTTAGACAGACTGCAGTATATTCATACAGTAGACTTGACTTGTGAATAAAAAGGAAAGAATATGGACTCCATGCACCCACATGGATGAATGTCAAACACATGCTGAGTGAACGCCACACACGAAAGAGAATATACTTGTATTATTCCATTTATATGAAGTTTGAAAACATCTGAAATGAGTCCATGGGGATAGGGTGGTAGGGATGGGGCGGTTGG